CGGGAGGCCTCGGGCCCCGTGCAAACCGGCGCGAAACTGGGTGTTTCAGTTCCGAATTTGTTCACCCATGAACTCTTCTTTTCCTCTTTTGACAGAAAGTGCAGCAAGAGCAGTTATTTTGAAGTAATAAATCACCCTCGCCCTGCAACCACCTTAGCACGAGTAGTTGTGCCAATAAAACTTTTAACCACTTTTGAATGTGTTTTAATACAGTCAAAAAATGTCAGAGGTACCTGCACATCTAGGCCTGCCACCCCCAGGGAAGTTGTATCCTCACCCGGCATGTTAACGTAAACAAAAGCATAACCAGAGCAGGGAAAATATCTTGTGGAGCAGCAATGATTAGTTTTATTACTTCAGTTTCACCTGGGTGATGTTACTTTTTAAAATGTCAAGATTTGGACTGTTCCTGGAAGTTGCAAACAGTTTGAAACACTGACAGAGYGGCTTAGTAGTTCCCTGCTATGCAGACGTCAAGAAAATCTCAAACTGCACGTGCTGTATATTCACGTTAATGTTTTATTAATCAGGATGAAAATGGATTGTTAATGAGATTTCAGTCAGGCTAGATCAGCACATAAAGTAAATATTCCCACTTGGGAAGGGCCGTTTCTTGTGAAGTAGGTTCCTTCTCAAGCAGTGGAGCACCAACTTGAGGCTACTTGGTGGGTATTAGTATCCAAGAATAAAACATAACAGCAGTCCAATACTGGAAGTACAAGGAAAGAGGATAAAGGAGGAAGGGCTTTGTAATTCTGTATATCCAAAAATGCACAAAACTTGGGTCAAAGGAACAGAATTCCATATCGGTAGTGTGTAAAAAGCACAAGGTCAGAAATTCCTGTGCACAATCAACACTTTGAACCAAAAAAACACATCAAAGCGTGATCATGAACAGCCTAGAGATAATGTAATGTACCCTTGTGATCTGCTATTTAGAATCATAAGTTAGAAAAATACTAACTCGTCCTTTCCCTCTTCACAATGCACACTAAAGGTGTGTGCCTCTCTCATTTCTTTATCCTGTCTGTCACGCACCACGTATTCMGGACAGGCCATTCTCAGATTCGTCTTAAGAAGTGAACAATAGTTGATTCAATAAGAAATCAATACATGAATCATTAATAATCTCACATGGGTATTTTTACCCATGACAAATCACATATAAATAAAGTACCTCCCTGTTTAGTTTGTTTTTTTGTTGTAAGGAGGAAAATGAGTCAAAAGGACTTCAAAATGGAAACTAGGCTGTTAAAAGTCTTGGAATGGAGTTGGGGAGGCAGAGTGTAACTGAATGCCTCAGTGCTCACCTGTCCGTAAGCAAACACTACCCTCCCTTTTACAAAGAAAAGGAAAAAGGGAGGTAAAACAGAAAGTGAAAYGCTTTCTGTTTCAAGAATTTCTTTACCCAAACTGCTATTTTTCAGTGACTGAAAATTGGCCAGACAGAAAAGAGACATAATTTATGGCAAGCAAAATTACAGTGGTAAGCAGGTAGGCTAATAAAGATTTAAAGAGCCATTAAACACAGGCTTGAAGACAGCATATTTTTAAGAAAGCAACAGTAAAAAACCTGCAAAGGTTTTCTAATCAATGGATTAGCTGAATATAAAAGGAGGGAGCAATAGAGGAAGAGACACAACAGAGATTTCTTCTTCAGCACTGGGGCACAAAATATCTCATGCCGTTACCAGATGTTGGGTTCTGTAAGGGAAGGGTTAATAAAGATTAATGTTAAAGTCAGTGACTCATTACATCCAACCTGAATAGAAGAGAATTAGGAGTGGCTCCTTAGAAGTAAGGAACTGAACAGTCATTAGGAAGAACTCTTAATGAATAACCATGTCAGGGCAAGAACATAGAGATGAATGTTACCGTTTTAGTCTCGATTCCTTTGTTAACGAAACATAGTCCCACTAAGAGATGAAAATGGACTTCTGCTGCAGTGTAGGCTATAAATCTTGATAAGGACATTTTCCTGGGGATGATGGGTGCATACATTACCCCCAGGAACCACTCGCTTTACCTGKTTTCCCCTAATAATTCTCCCCGTTTCTCACTCTGGTGTCTCACTGTGGAGCCCTTTAGCTGTTGCTCCTGGTTGCCGCAGAGCTTTTCTAGTTCTTGCAGCTGCAGGGAGAACTCCCAGCCCTCCTCCTGCTGCCGGGGCCTGTGAACGAGCCCTGAGTTTGTCCTGTGGGCAAGACTCGTTTCCATATTGTTACCTCAGTGCTCAAAATTAAATATTTCCATTACTATTGCTGTACTAAATTTAAATGCAGATATTTGCAAATGAACATCCCATTATTGTTGACATTCTGCTTCTACTTACAWCTATTAGGTGCTCTGTTTCTTCTTCGTGTAATCAGAAGCATTTGACTGTGGTAGTGGTAAAAGCGCGTGGCAATAAAAACGGCCATTGTTTCTCTCATGGTATGTTTCTTTCATCTCACAAATCACCTATCACAAATTTTGTTAATTACAGACTCTCTGTGTGATTTATACAAAAAAACACTAGATTTCAATTGGACTTTTTCTTCAGGCTGACATTTTAATTTTCAGTATGCACATTATTTCAAGTGATTTTTCTTTCATTTTTTTTTTAAGTTATAAACATCGTTAGCATAWACTCCAGGTAAAACAGTTCCAGAAATAGTAAAAAAGTGAGAGGAAGCAATTATATTGTTTTTAAATTTTTCTTTGAAATTTTTCTTTGGACAAAACCTGTCTCTCTAGCCTTGCTCTAACTTTGTATTGTAGCACTTACTATCAGACTAGACATATCTTTTTTTTTGTTTTGTTTTATTTTGGGTTGGTGCAATTAAATCGTATCTAATGTTATACAACAATATTTACAATTAAAGGATTTTGCTTGGATTGTCTTGCTTTAGTGTATAGTAACTTTTTTTGCAAGTATCTATAACAACATGATGGAATATTTTCCTCTTAGAGCATAAAAATGTGCATGCGGGAGTCATCTAATTTAAATGCTTATCACTCTCTCCATCACCATTAGCTCTTCGATGAGTTTCAGTCTATTTTTGGAGCTTCTTCCTTTTTCAGCTTTCTGCAAGACATAAGATTGGAGAAACCCATAGCTGATTTGCCATCTTAAATAGATTTATTGCTGCTAACAGTTCAATATTTTCATAGTATACAAGAAGGAATTTTATTCTTCCATCAATAATTGTATAATACCAATTCTCACGTGTCTTTCATAGAACWTTCTCTTTGCAAAGCACCTTGCTGAAGTTTTTTGTTTCTGCTGACCCACTCTTACATGCCAAGGATTCCTGCTCTCTGACATTTCCACTTCATTAAAAATTCAACTTCAATATTAATTTAAAACTGAGAAACTGGTTGCAGTGATGTCTGCTGAATATGACTTGCATCTTTTTGCTGCTGTCAAATCATTTGTGTTTAGCTACATAGCCACTCTGTTTTACTGTAACACTGTAACACAGACTTTTAGGGGATTGTTGCTAGATATTAGAATATTTTGATGTGTGTTCTCATTGACCGGGAGGAACCTTCATGACTGATCATTCTGCAGACTCTTCGTTTGATTTTCAGGAGTCTTCTTACATTGGTCATGCAGATTTTGTGCCTGTTTTTCAAATTGCCCATCTCTTGGTATAAACCACTTGTTTAACTCTGAGAACTATTAGCAAAGACTGTTGAAAAGACATGGGGAACTGCAGTCTACTGATTTTTTTCCCCATTTTTTTCCTAATAATGACCTAAAAGCCCTTTAGTATTTCATTAAGATTGACAGTATGTCCTGCATCTTCTTTGCCCTTCTCAGATGCTGGTGCTATCCCTGACACTCAGAATACACATTCACTGTGTGTGTTTAGCAGATTTAAAAAGTATATTTTATCTGAATGATRATCTGCACAGCAATTTTTGTTTCTTCTATAGAAGAACAGTTAATACAGAAGGAGAAAAAACAACAAAAAAAGACATCACAGGGAACTTTGTTACTCTTTTAGGCAGACACTAACAGGCTACTTCTTGGCACACTTTTTCACTTTTATTTTCTTGAGCCTGGTTACCTGTTAATACCCTTTTCATGTCTATTCTTTCCCTTTCCCTCTTCCAAAGGCATCTACTGCCTTCCAGATATTTTCTTTAGGCCATTCAAATGCTCATAAAACATGTTAGGCCAACACTCGAGCCCTTTGTAGATGTGTCTGGAAACAGCTGTTTGCTCCATCATTGGTGGAGGAAGAGCAAAGAGCTCCTCTGACAGCTTGTTGTAAAGCCAGTGTCAAAATGAAGGCACATGAACAACAAAATGAAGTGTGAGCTGTAATCTAGRGAAAAGATGATTAAGTCATTCTTTAGTAGGACAAACTTTCTSTGCAGCAGAACAAGAAAACTCAGGACACTTGATCATGCTTGGCAGGATACCTGTTGGGAGTCAGCTCCTGTACAAGCATCATGCAGATGACCGTGATGCTCCAGCAAACTTTCGGGGCAAGGAAATGACTCGGAGCGACTCCTGCGAGTCCATGGGAAAAGCAGCCTCACGGAGGAGGGGGCAAGTGTGGCTGTCTGGAAGAATTCCTCCTTTCAGAGAACAAGCAGTGCTTTCACGCTGCACCCTTAGCCATGGCACACGTGTATGCGCACAGTATACACGGATCACATCGGGCCCATTTGCCTTCCTTAAAAACAAAAGCATAAAAAAAMCCACTTCTAAATTTTATATTTTTTTTTCAAGAGTAAAAGCACAAATAATAAAGATCTTATGAAGCAAGCACAGGAGCTTGTGGGGAGCAACAGCACTGGTTCTTAGAAAACCTGGAACAGTAGCGTGCTGTTCTGTTGGTATTAATGAATATTTGTGTGAGACGTACAAAAAGCCAGTATTTAAAATATATTCTGCAATGGAGAATATTCTGCACCAGAGAAAAAATGGTCTTCCAAACAGATACTGATATATTACTATTTTCAGATATTACTAACAAGTATGACACATTTGTAAGTGGTTTAATTGGAAATGCGCGTAGAAGATAAAAATATGTGTCATGAACATTTCAGAAGAGCAACTATTTACACTTCTAACATGTAAAAAACATGTCTTTTTTTGTTGGCATTTATGTGATTCATACAAGTATTTCAAGAATGCAAATAACACATTTTGCTACCAAAATGTGGAATATGGATTCCAGTTCTAGGAACTCCATCCAAGCCAGACCTTCCCTTTGAGTCTGCATCAGTAACTAAATCCTCCTCCTTACCTAAACACATGCCAACGTGGTCTACCAGCATATCATCCAATTTGCCAAGAGATGAAGATAGTGCAGTTACATGTCTTACCAAGCACTCCAGAATTCCAGCACCAGGAATCTTGTCACAACAGCTGCTTCTGCACAGCTTCTTCAAGTAAAAATAAAAAAAAWAAWAWAAAATAAAATAAAAAAACCTGTTTGGAATTATGATGTATAAAGTGATAGGACAACGTCTGCTTGAATCTGCACCCAGACTGAAACGAGCTCTGAGAGAATCCAGGTTACATGAAGTTTTCAGTGCAGGGCGCTGGGTACAAGGGGTACTTTGTGTGGTGGCTTTCTGGTCACATAACAGTTATCCATTCCCAGCGTGTGGGGACAGCAGCCGCTCCTTGGACGAGGTGCTCTTTGAGCTGGGACAGGTCAAGAAGAAGAAAAGCAGGCTCAATCCTCCTGTTGTCTGGATGCGACCCACAAGCCACCAATTAGACTTACGGAACTGCAGTATTCAGTTCAAACAGCTGCTAATAGTATTTTAATGATAGTTTAAGTGATCCTGCTGATCATTTCAGAAACATCCAGGTCACTAATTACTTTTAAGTCTGTGCRGTGCTTTAAGTGTGCAAAGCACTGTGAAAATGTTATGTAACATTATTAATACCCTTAATGGCCTTCAGTGACTTCCCAGGTATCAAAAATAATTGTCTCTTGTGCATAGGCCAAACTTCTGCCCTATCTGTAATTCTCTGTAATCCAACTGCCCGGGTACAATGGATGTTTCTATAGCATCCTGGAAATAAAGAGTAGTGATTAAAATTAATTACCTCCATTAGTTAAAACTATACAAACGTTAATAAAATACAATAGTAACCTATATTTACTAAAGTTCTTCGGATGCACCAGCTCCAGTGTGTTTTTTCTTAACTATTAGCTTGATCCAACTGGATCTGTGAGAAAAACTGGATGGGAAGGTTTGCCAGCAGTACAAGCGCTAACCATCCGCGTGCCTGTGGCAGCGGGCACTGCTTCTTTGCTACGTGTTGAGCCCGGGCCGTGCAGGAAAGCTTGCCGTGCTCCTGCCTCCGCTCCGTGCTGGGCCTGGGCGGCCCTGGGCCGCCGGTCACGGGGATTTCGGTTTCCGAGGCCGGCAAGTCGCYACCTGCCAGAAACATTAAATTCCTGTCAGAATGTTTGCTTGTATTTTGTACAAGATGCCCATAGTCTGCCGAGGAATCCATTCTCCAGGAAAAATATTTAGAGTGCAGGTCACAGTTTTCCCCATCAGAAATTCAGCCAAAGCACACCCAATCTGCTAACCACGGACAACACAGTGGTGGTCAAGATGTTTACACACAAAACACTYTATCAGTGAGAGTAAAGTACACATCTTGCCTGTGTAATAGATACCTAGTAATGAAATGGAAAAGCTGGCTAAGCCCTTTTTAAAATACACACTTTTAGCTTTTCGTTTGAGCTCAGGAATATAGGTTAACTGTAGTGCAGTGAATTTTAAATGCAAAATCTAAGCAATTAGACTTACTGATGTAGGATGAAGAAGGAGCCTTGTTTYCTCATTGAAAAATAAAATGAATAAAATAAATACTAATGTTGAAAATTTACTGTGAAGTTTTATGCAAAATCAATCTCTTTACTGTCCTAGAGCACATTGGTTTTGACTAATCTACCCTCAGTTTTATGTGAGATGGAAGACATAGCAATAGGAGCAGGAGGCAGCGCTGCTAGTTAGGAGCTCTGCTACCAGGAACACTGAAATGAGAGGGTGATAATATATGTGCACTTTACACTTGAAGCCAGTGATTTTGTGCCTGTACTTGCACCTGTTTATAGGAACAAGCCCCTGAAACAGCTTTAAAGGCAACATTTGGTTATGCAAAGGTGGCCGGTCCCCCAAATTTGCCATTTGCACAGGGCTGAATTTTGCAGGTGACTGTAAAGATTCCATTTTTGCAGCCATTTGACCTGAGGGTTTTGCTTTACTATATGATATGAAATGTCCATAAATGATCAGTCTCTCTCACTTSGATAATATTTTAAACGTGTTATATGTGCACCTCTTCTTTTCCTGGAAGGCTTTGCAAGCACSGTATCTCTGGAGATGAAAGTCTTGACAGATTTTTTACATTTTGTTGCTAAGCGGTGCTTTTTTTYCCCCCTTTTACAACTTTGATGTGTGAGAGAATAGGAGGGCAGAGAATTCCTAGCTTGTCTCTCRCACGAAGAGCTGCTCTAACTGTCCATATATAACACGGGCTCTAACTGCCCGCTTGCTTTTAACAAAAAAACTCACAATTTGCGTGGGAGAGCACAACTAAAGCAGGTGTCGGAGGCACGCTGGCCTCGTAAGAGGCAATATTTAAACTCACATATTCCCAGATTTCTTGATTAGAGATTTTCCAGTTGCTTTTCATGCCTTTCACAAAGCTCTGGCGTATTTGTGCSTTAGTTGCTTTGCCTGACAGCGCTGATATCAACTCGCACAGGTTAGGTCCTCATCTTTGCTTACTCCTCTAAAGACACATGGCTCCGTGGTTATTTACCGCGTGATTTCCCCACATCTAGCGGGGAACAGTCGGAACAGAGAGGACAGGGCCGGCGTCGCGAAGCGCCGGGACCGTCGCCGCGCGGGCTCGGCCGTGGGTGTCGCGCGGCTGCCAGGGATGGCGGCAGGAGCCGTTGCCAGGCAACGTGGCCTCCTTGAGGGATCGGGGGACGGCCCGGGCACCTCCGCGTCGGGATTAAAGTTATCACAGGTGCCCCAAAGAAATAAATAACCCAACACGGGGGTTTGCACAGGCGTCCGAGCTCACCTCGGTGCACGGCTATTTACAGGAAGGGAGAAGATGACGTGGGAGAGGCGACGCGTGCTGAAACGCTCCATGGAAGGGAGGCGCATGCTGTGTTTTTAAAGCAGTTAGGCCTATTTTGCGTTGAGGCGGAGCTGTCAATGTTAATCGTAATTAATTTCGGATCGTGGTTTTCAGCCAAAGATTTCCAGTGCATTTCTCGTGGGGCCTCACCCTGGCGTCCAGCYGTATGGCTTTGGTGTCCGCCGCCTGGCCGACCGCACCAGGGTCACGGACAGAGCCGTAAATAAAAATCTCGGCTTTTCAGAATGGTGACCTTGGGGGAAAATACATAAATGAATGAAGTATCTTTGTGGTGAAGCGGTGGGGGAGCATGGAGCACGCTTAAAATTTTCTTAATTCTTTAATGCTGCTCTCATGCCCCACTCACCTGTAGCTGAATCCTGACATTATCTCTGTATAAGCAGGAGACTCCCTATATGCCAAGGTCAAATATTTCTCCCAGAGTTTTCCCAGTTTATCGGAACAACGCACCTAAGAACTCAATCTGTAGGTAACAGGATAATTTTTTGTTATCCATATCTAAGAAAAAGCTTCAGAGTAAAAAGCTGGCTCCAGTGAAGTCAATGAGAATTTTACTGATGACTTCAGGGGCACCTGGACTTTACCCAGCGTAACAGATTATATGTGATCCTTTAGAGCAATTTAATTAAAGAGAAACATATAAAGCACTTGGCAGTAAGCGGTCCACGTTTGTGAGCATATCCTGTCTAGAGTGAAGCCTGAATTAGATACAGATAATGCAGGCTCGCTTATAAGCACCACAATAAAACTCACTTTGCAGAAGTTTGTGTAGGCTTTCTGTGCTTTCCTTTAGCAAGTATTCGCTGTGTGTTTTCTACAGGATCATTTTTTATCATCCAAACAAAATCAGAGGCATTATTTGAAGTATTTCAAGCTGAGGCAAACTCTGTTGATTTGGCTTTATCACAGCTCTCAGTTACACCAAGGTCAACAATTCTTTACTGTAATTTAATACTGAATAAGTATTTCTGCTGACTGCTGAGATTGGGTGGGAGGAGGAGTCCAGCAACAGGAGAACTTTTTACTTCTGCTTGTATTTACATAACCAGTTCATACATTTAGTGGTTTTTATTTTTAGGCAAGAGAAATATAAAATATCCACAAGGCTAAGGCTACCACGTCTGGAGACATGATAGTTATAAAAAAGTGCATGGAGTTATAAAAAAGAGGTGTGATTCCTCTGAAGGAGAGTGAGGCATGTTGGCTTCCCAAGCAATACRCAGGCACTACAAGGTCATGGTTTTGAAGCATGGGTGTTGGACTACACTAACTTAAAAATATGTACAATTAACATAGCTTTCTGGTTATGGCATTCGGATTACCAGATCAGGATGATACATGAAAAAACCATGTAGATAAGGCATCATTTGYCCAAACATGCAATGAGAAACTGACTTTAGTAAAGGAATGTCTCAAGCTGGAGAATGAAAATGCAGATACGTGATATGTTCTGATTTCAGAGCAAAGATTAGGTTATCACCATGAAGCT